GTACTGTAATGTAGTAAAGTTAATGTCTGCATTTGTATCACCTGATGGTTTCGTTAAATGTAGACAAAACCATATTGTCTTAATTGGTATGAGGCACTTTTTTTTTTGTTAATATAGTAATGACTATATTTGGATTATACAATATATTTTTATATAAGGGAGAAATGTCCTATTGTCAACCACTTTATAATGAAATACCAAAAAATTTTCAGTGTGCACATTTAAGAGCAAAAATTAATCACTTGTACGGTATATACTGTACAGAATTGTACTATAACTTTTCTTAAGATGCACTAGATAGTTAATCAGCTGATAAATGAAAGCAAGGTGGTGTTGCCATCATAACTAAAATCCAGAGGAATACATTATGCCACAGATGTAGTAACTTGTTACTCTGTTCCCATGCAACAGCATGGGAACAACATTCACTAAATATGGTTAATCGGCCAATTATGACCATATATTTACTGCCAGAAACAATGTTTAGTAGTAACCTAGAATTTCTAAAAATAACTGAAATTAAACACAAGTAATAATTAAGGTAGTAAAAGGTTGATTATATAGGGACACATTCTAAATATATAAAAAAAAGTTTCAAAAACTGTGGGCATTCTTTCTAAGATCAGATATTATGTACCCCGCCCTGCCCTGGTGACACTATTACTCCCTTATCTATCCATATCTCAACTATGGTATTTGTGCTTGGGGCTCTACTACCCAAAATCATTTACGTCCTCTAATTACTCAGCACAAAGCTGCTATTAGACAATATCCAACTCTGGCCCCAGACATCACTCGGTACCCCTACTCAAATCTCTGAATATGTTAGACATTAAGTCACTGCACATTCTCTCATGTGTATTATACATATATAAAACGCTAAACTGTAATGCCAATCCTGACCTCAAAAGCTTCATAGAAGGTTGTAACAGAACCCATGAGCACCACACCAGAAATAAATACAGTTTTGATATTCCTAGAGTACGACTTAATCAAACTAGAAATGCTCTACAAATCAAGGGGCCCAGAATGTGGAATGACCTTCCCAACCATGTTAAAGACTGTACCTCTCTCAACCAGTTTAAGATAAAAACGAAGCTATACCTAATAAATTCCCTGTAACCTACCTTACCCCTCTATTGTCAACCAATGTCTGTTTTTTTTTAAAGAGCGCTGTTTGTCGACAGAATTGTATTTGTGCTGCTTTTTCAGCTATGTTTTCATTTCTTGTTTTCATTTTACTCTTTATGCTCAATTAGTATTAAGCTTTAGTCATTTAAGTTTTTCATGCCCGAAACGCTTTGCGTAATAGTGGCTTTAGGCATTGTATGTACTAGCTCTATCTATAAGTCCACCAATCTTTGTAAAAATTTCTTGTATGTATGTACCTTACCTAAATAAACATTTATTTATTTATTATTATTTATTTAGATTTGTATCCTTCACAGTCAAATTTTTTTTAACTGTACAGTACATAGCTGTGGAGCACAGCCTGATAATAGTGATAACTATCCACTATGATAACTTGGCAAGCAGTTTTGAAGTGCGTGAGGCAATAGCATTTTTATAGCCTATAAATTTAAGCTATAGAATAACAAAAATTTAGTTTGTATAAGGAAGTGAAATAATTAAATTATGAAGTTGAAAGTGCCAAAGTGTTACTTGTACTACTGAATACAATGATAGAAGCCATTAATTAGTTTCCAATACTAACTAGCAAGAGAAGACTAAAGCATTTCCAGGAATGATCAGTTATGAGATTTTATGCAAGAAATTGGCCACAATTGTTCATTCTTAAGAACTTTGTTATATGAGAATGTAGATTAAGTGGTCTTGAAAGATTGAAGGCAAAGTTTCCCTTATCAGTCAGTCTTATTAGTCATAACTTAATCACACCTTCTAGGCTGGCAGTGGATGTTTCAGATATAGGAGCAGAAGTTGTAGTTTAAGAGCAGGGGGTGCCATAGGCACAATCGGAGAACACTGTACAGTATAAACATCAGAGGTCCACGGTTGTTCAACATCCTCCCAGCGAGCATAAGAAATATTGCTGGAACAACCGTGGACATCTTCAAGAGAAAACTAGATCATTTTCTCCAAGGAGTGCCGGACCAACCGGGCTGTGGTGGATATGTGGGCTTGCGAGCCGCTGCAAGCAACAGCCTGGTGGACCAAACTCTCTCCAGTCAAGCTTGGCCTCGGGCTGGGCTTGGGGAGTAGAACAACTCCCAGAATCTCATCAACCAGGTAACAGAAATATGAGAAAGCTAATGACCAGAATGTGATTTTTTCACAATGCAATTCACAATATGTGGTTTGCTGTTTTAGGTGAGAGCCAGTTAGTAGTGAACATTATCAATAGTGGAAACTCTCTGAAACACTCGAGACCAAATAAGTGGAATATTTGAAAATAAATATACACCTTGGCCAGTTAGTCCTTAAGAATACTAGTAAGCCTCTGTGTATGGCTGTCTAAGCCCAGTCTTGATAACTTGAAGCTGGAGTAATGTATAATCTGCTAAAATTTGAAGTAAATACCAAGTTTATTTCCCATCTTGTGCAATTAAAGTAAATGAGTTGTCAAAGTACTCTTCTGCAATTGATAAAATAAGTACTGCTGAAGCTCTAACTGTACTCCCAGATATTGGAGTTGCCTAAAATAACTACTGTGTGGTCTAAACAATTGTTTTAAGGGATGGAGGGCAGGCATATCTGGAAGCAAGAACCACCCTATATTTTAAGTTTTCGATTTAAACAAGTGGTTGAATATTGTCACATTTGTGTGTTTCACAATCGCATGGTAACAGTAACTTTATCTAGAGACATTACTACGGTTTTAATGTACATTATTGTTGGAAATGAGAGTGGAAGTACCATCCCACACAGGAAATAATTATAACATATCCGTACCTGTATAAAGAAAAGAAAAATGGAGATTTCTAGTTGTCTTGGCTTCTTTTTCAAGCCTTTCAGTGTTGTGTAGTACTGTATATTATCCTTGAAATTTTTTGTATGATATGCAATTTGTCCCAAATACAAATTGCTTACATTTATAAGAGCAATGTAAACTAGCAACTGACCTTTATACTCTTACAAGGGATGAAGATCATTCTGGGAAAATTGATGCTAAAGTAGTTGTGTTGTTTTGTCTATTTAAAAATGCATTAGTGCCCAGCTAATTTTAAATAATGTATCAAGTACAGGCAAAAAAGTGTTGTATATGCCTTGACTTGGTGTGTTGCACCACTTGATGTGTAGCATGCCTTGGCAGGTGGAATTAGATCTTTTTATTTAGAAGGCCTTATTAAGACTTTGTGATGTAAATAAAGATTCCTATTCAGTACAATTGTGAATGTAATTAATTTATGCACAATGTAAATATTTTGTAAAATTGCTAATAATTTACACTTTCATGTTTTCTTCTACTTGGCTAATCTCTATACAAAATTAGTGGAAACAATATAGTGAATATCTTCATTAAAACTGGTCTGCTTGTGTCCATATCATGTGCAATTGAGCAATGCAGTGGGTCTGTTGTACACGTAACTGTAAATGATTGCTTACCTTGCATGTATCTCTAACATTCCTCCAATATTTGCTCTTCTTGCTTTACAATTGATTTCTGCTTTCATTATTTCAGTTTCTACCTGTATACTAAGCATAGGCAAAAATAAAGATCCATTACAGCTCAAGTGATTGATGCTGCAATATTTGTGGAGGATTTTGTTGAAGACTACAGAATGATAAATCAGCACAATTCAAAGATAATTAAGTGCCTTGTGATTCAGTGCTAAAGCTAATAAACAAAACCAATAATGAGCTGTTACTATATCGTTAAATATTAATTTGAAATAATTTTTGTAAGTGCAAGAGATTATATATATATATGTCGTACCTAGTAGCCAGAACGCACTTCTCAGCCTACTATGCAAGGCCCGATTTGCCTAATAAGCCAAGTTTTCATGAATTAATTGTTTTTCATCTACCTAACCTAACCTAACTTTTTCGGCTACCTAACCTAACCTATAAAGATAGGTTAGGTTAGGTAGGGTTAGTTAGGTTCGGTCATATATCTACGTTAATTTTAACTCCAATAAAAAAAAATTGACCTCATACATAATCAAATGGGTAGCTTTATCATTTCATAAGAAAAAAATTAGAGAAAATATATTAATTCATGAAAACTTGGCTTATTAGGCAAATCGGGCCTTGCATAGTACGCTGAGAAGTGTGTTCTGGCTACTAGGTACGACATATATATACATATATATATATATATATATATATATATATATATATATGTCGTACCTAGTAGCCAGAACGCACTTTTTGTCCTACAATGCAAGGCCCGATTTGCCTAATAAGCCAAGTTTTCCTGAATTAATATATTTTCTCTAATTTTTTTCTTATAAAATGATAAAGTTACCCATTTTATTATGAATGAGGACAATTTTTTTTTATTGGAGTTAAAATTAACGTAGATATATGACCGAACCTAACCAACCCTACCTAACCTAACCTAACCTATCTTTATAGGTTAGGTTAGGTTAGGTAGCCGAAAAAGTTAGGTTAGGTTAGGTTAGGTAGGTTAGGTAGTCAAAAAACAATTAATTCATGAAAAATTGGCTTATTAGGCAAATTGGGCCATGCATAGTAGGCTGAGAAGTGAGTTCTGGCTACTAGGTACGACATATTATATATATATATATATATATATATATATATATATATATATATATATATATATATATATATATATATATATATATATATATATATCTGAAAATTAATTTTAAATTATGTGAGAAGAACTCAAGATGCACACCCAGGCAAGCTAAACAAGACCAATATCCCAACACAAATAACAAGATCAGCTGATGAGTTGTTTTGTATGGACAAATTATTTCTCAAAGAAAATAAGTTTTATTGTGAATGAGAAAGATATATCACACTATCAAATGATCTTGTCACTAAAAAAAAGGAGAAGGAAAAATCATGTATACATACAAGTATTTAATTTTATCATAATACTATATTAAACCATATGATAATGAGGAAGAGTTGGATATTGCATTCAGGGACGAGGAGGAGAGTGAGTTTACTGTACCCATCACCCACGGACAAGCCTCGCTACCACCTCTCCCTTGCCACCACCAGCAGACATGCCGTCAGTGTACTTTATACAACTAGTCAAAAATTAAAAGATTAAAATATGTTAGCACTTTACCTGATACCATTATACCTACTGGTCCATGAGAAACGCTTAGTTTATAAGATCATTCACACTGAATCTAACACTAAAGGGAACATAGAACTGAAAACTATCATATGAATGTTAATTATGGTTAAATGAAGGTAATGGAAATGGTGGTACAGTGAAGATACATTACGAAAAGCAAAAGTTATTATGGGACATACGTTGCACACAAGACAAACATTACTCTTTGAACTCAATCAAAGCAATGGAAGGAGATAAACTGATCAGTAACAGTATTTGACACTGAAACATATTTTGTAAATATAGACTTGGCCATAGCTTTTAATTAACAGACAAGGTCTGTTGCCCCCACTCTTCCAGCAGTCCAGTCTGGAGTAACTACTCTAGACGACCCTGACGATGTGGCAGCTGCAACGACCTCCCCAGACCACCAGACACACTTTAGAATTTGACCTTACAAAAAATTAGCTTAATAATAACCACTTTGGAAATTTATCAGAGAACCGAACGTCAATTCAAAATTGTCTTTTGAATAGCTCTTCTTTGTCAATGTTTGTAGGGTGAGTTAGTTAATACACATTAACATACATGCCAGACCAGCTAATAAAATTTTGCAGATTTACAACCATAAAATTATGCAAATCAGCTTGAATACTAAATAGTCAAAATATTATTGAAAATGACATGCTAACAATTAAGTTTAACAAAGCATGTGTAGTTTTGACTAATAATCTGGGGAGAATTTGTGCTCTGCATGTACCTGTATCACATTAGTATACTAATGTAGACGGCCCTGCAGAACGCATTGCACATTTTTTTTTTTTTTGGCTCAATCGTCTGCTATCTTTTTATCACACCTTTATTCCCACTACTATACTTAATGTGTCCACACATGACCCTAAGAAGCATCCTCAGTACAGCCATAACATGTTCAACAACATTTTTCTAATGTTACTTGTGTTTAACCATTTCATTTTTATATATACTGTAAATATAATATATAAAATACGCTGTTACAGGAGTTAATATTGGCAATGTTTAGCTCATTAACTAATTCATGTGTATGAAGTACATTATCAGTATGAGAGTATCAACATTAAGTATTTCCTGAAGAAAAGGGAAAGTAGCTAAGTTCTAAGTCATAAGGACCTTTCCTTTCCCAGGATTGCATAAATCGTGAACTAGTTATATCTTGATCTGGAATATACACAATTAAGACTTTATAATATACATACTAATAATAGCCATAGAATAAATTTAGTTGTAAATAATATACTGTATATCAGAAACTTGACACAAGTCCCATTCATCAGATCTGTGAAATGTCTGAAGCAGAAAATCTAAAAATTTTAAATATAATGAACATGTTGCACCAGGCCCTAAAAAAAAAATTAAAAAATCTATGTACAGTTAATAATGATCGCTTGCTACTATTACTGACACTACTATAGAAATATTGGCAAGTAACCAATTGAGTTTCTAACCATTGTCAAACATAAGTTTCAATTTTTAAATAACATACAATACTATTATGGCACATATAACATTACCTGCTCAGTTATCAATATAAGTATGTCATTTAACTAAACAATAGACCTTAAGTTATTATACTCTATGTGAACATAATCTTGACACGTGACTAGACACTAATAATTATCCGTTACATATTTTGCAATGTTAAGCTGTTTTCATCAATATTTACCCCAGAGTTCATTGAACATGGTTTACAAAATGATGGAAGACTTCATCACAATTGGTTGAAAAAATTAATCATTGAACATATTTCATGAATTTAATAAAATTCTTGATTGTTAATTTTGATAACTGGTATTATTGCAACAAAAAATATACTGGTAAAAATTGGCAAAAAATTAAGGGTTATCTATTAAAAAAAGTTAACAATGCAGGATCTCAAGCTGTCACGTAACAGATGTGGTACTACAATATGTAGGATATGTGCAGTGAACTAGTTGCATTTCTATATTGAACCCTTGAAACAGAAGCCCAGTGTTTGAGTCAACATGATTCAAACCCAAGACTCGGTAATCGGTTTCATAACATGATTTTATGAAAAAGCTAACCATGACAAGTCCATGAATTATTTAATGATTTGAGAATAAGTATACTGTATATTATTATTAGATATAAGGTGCACACTCTTAGCAAAAAGCATGGCAAAAGCTAGCATCACTGAACTTCATACATTAGAATAGCTTCATATTTATGGCTGTACTGTGAATGATTTCCAATTACTTTGCAACATGGGAGATGAAATGGGCGATGACAAAATTAAATCTTCTTTATTAAAAATAATGAAAAATACAAGGCATGATAAGTGTATAAAAAAGGAATTCTATATACAAAATTCTAATACTGAATAAATAATTTATTAAAATTTAAGACCACAAAAATCAAAGAACAGTACCTCTATCTGTTAACCGATGATAGAGGAAGAAAATGAAAACTCATAAATGCATCGTATATTGTTCTTGTAATGCTGTACCTACTAACCCACGAGATGACTTTCCAGGCTACTTTCTCAAAGGGTACGTTCCTGGACGCATGTCTTGCTTAACGGCAGTATGGGTTAAACAAGGTGAGGAGGGGCTTGGGCTTGTATTGTGTACTCTGGTCATCTACCGGTTTTCCTTCAGATACTGAACACGACCATGAATCTGGTTAAGGCAAATGTCAGGCTCGAGAACTATTCCATATTCAGAAACAAGTGGCAATGGACAACAGAGAATCAAACACTATATGCACAAGAAAATGCACTAAAATACTGAGAAAATAAATCTTCTATGAATAAGCACTTTTAAAAAATAGAAATGCTTGACTAAAATGTGTATAATAGGACAGAGTATATACAAATAGGAACAGCTTACGAGTCTGGCCTTGCATGTGGCGTGATGGGTACAGCCTACCTGGGCCCACTTTGGAAACCCTTACAAGGGCATCATGGTAGTAAATGGTGCTTACAACAACCACCAGTAACTACCTATACTGAGTATCCATCTCCTACATACAACATTATATGGCTATGTGGAACATAAACACGTGTTTGGTAAATTAGAGAACATAAATTATTTAGGATCACACAGGCCTTCTGGCCCAACGTCTCTGGTGCCCCCCACCCCCGCGCCCCATTGGTATTTGGGGATCCTGGGCTTGATTTGTCTGGCGCGGGGGGTTGGGTCAGGGTCGCCATGTTCCTGTTACTACTGATGGGTCAGCAGCATTTCCATTGTCATCACGGCCACAAGGTGCATTGGAAAGTAATGATTTGGAAGGCTGAGGTATACGTGTGGCAACAGCAGATCGTACTTTTGGTGTAACAGGTGGCTGATAATTGAATGGAGGAACAATAGCAGACTGTGGTGGAGACCGTACTCGCCCATCCTCTTCCACTACAATGAAAGAACCAAGGCGAGACAGTCGTTTTGCCCGAGCTTCACTATCTTCTTCCAACTGACCTACATGCACACCTGGAGGATGGGTAGCTGGTCGTTGGCGAAGTTGCACCGTTTCTGAAAATCGGCCACTCACTCCAGCTATTCGAGAACGTGTTGGGCTTACCAGACAGTGAGGTCGAGGATCAACTGGAGTAGTGGCTTCTGAAGGAGGTGAAGACCGAGTATCTCGGCCCCTTAATTTAGCTAGTTTGAGTCCTAAACGAGTTCTGCCTTTTCCATTATCACCATTTCCACTATTCCCTCCATTAACAGGAAGCTTTTCATAGGTAGAGCTACGTACCAGGGGTTGAGGTGAGGATTCCTTCGCAGCTGATTTAGGACGCTGTATCCACAAACGAGTGTCTTTTTCTTTCTCCTTGGGTTTAGCTTGTGCACGTTCCACTTTCTTCCACAAATTAGCAATTCGACTTGTAACCTCCTTTTTCACATTTGTCTTTTTAGGAATATCATTACGCCACTCGGCCAAATCAGAGGAAGTAGGTGGGCGAGCATCACGTGTCAAGCTAGTTGATTTATGTTGTGGAGGTCGACCTCTAGTTGGACTTAAATCTTGACTGCCACTTTTTGGTATACCAGTGCGAACGCCCATGGATGGTTGTGTGACAGAAGGACTAGGTTGCACAATATCTCGCCTTAACCTCGGTTTGGAAAGCCCTCTAGTAGAGGGGATAGATCTTTTAGTTTCAGCTGGAATATTGTGTTCTGGACTTTGTGGTGTATCACTGTCATCTTTTGTAAATGTATTTTGACGATGCAAAGGTCTAGGAGGTTCAGGACCAGGTCTTGCTAGAGATTTTGATCGAGCTGGTCGAACAATATTGTTACGGGACCCTGGACCCAAACGAGGGCTGGATCCTGCACTGCTACCAGCTGAGGATCCTGTTACTCTTCCTGTTGGACTGTCCTCTCCACTGCTACCCCCTTTTTGAAGGTTTGAAGTATGGCGTAATGCAGATGCTCTTGTTGCCCGAGGAAGTTTTGGGGAAGATGGTTTTACTGGGGATGCAGAGTTAGGACGGGCAGGCATTGGCCTTACTGGAATTGTTCTTACTGGGTTTGCAGTAGAATTTGAAGTAGGTTTAGTCGGTATAGCATTATATTTTTTGCCACTAGAATATAATGGTTTTCTGCGACCTCTGATGGCTTTTCCAGCAGGTTCTTCTTCTTCTTGTACACGTGCAGGCTCCTCACCAGGCTTTACAATCCGTGGACGTCGTATAACTTGCCTTTCTTCCTCCTCATCCTCTTCATCACTACTACTTTTATCAGGTGGAGCGTCATCAAAGTCCCTAAGAAAATTTCTCATCTCTGATTCATCTTCATTTGAAATTAAGCTAAGAGTTTCAATATCTAATATATTTTCTTCACTAAGAAGATCTGAAGATTCACTAGTCATTGCTTCCCGAGTTTCATTCAGTGTACATATGACAATATTAGCATCCTGCTGTAAAGCCTCAAGTTGTTCAGCTGTTAAATCAAGCATTTCATTACTATCCTGAAAATCAACTAATGCGCCATCCTCTTCCTTATTACCTTCGTCTTCAGTTGTTGGTTCAGGTGTAATATCTGCCAATGGTACATCTATGGTACGGGTCTGATATCGCTCTCTGTCTTCTTGCCGTCTTTGCCTAAATGACTGCCTGCCCTGCAGCTTTGATGGTGAAGAGGGCGATGTTTCATCGTTTTCAATTTTTATAGCAGCTGCTTCAGGTGTTGCCTCTGGTGAAACCTGCACTTCACTGATAGTATGTGTTTGGAAACGACTGGGGTCTTGCTGGCGACGATCTTTGGGTGATTTTCGAGGACTGACTTTGTCTTTTTCATCTGTAGAAGGAGCGGTATCAGTGGAAATATTTTGTTGCCCAGTGCTCTCTGATATTGTTCGAGTTCTGAAACGTTCAGCATCTTCTTGACGTCGCTGCTTAGGAGTGCGTCCCACCAGTGGTGATGAGGGAAGGGTTTCAACTAATGTTGGGTCTGTGTCCTGAGAAGTAGCAGCATCAGAAGAAACATCTCCATCACCTCGAGTGAAAGTACGGAATCGGTCTTTCGCCATGTGTCTGCGAGAACGTGGTGTACCCTGTCTATTAGGTGAAGCATGTGCAGATCCACAAAGTGAAGAAAACCCATCTTGCGGTAAATCAGGAATATCAGATGGTAAATCATCAGCAGCCATTTCTGTGTCACTTGCAGGACCAACGGTCTCTTCATGTTCTGTTATATCTGTGATTTCCTGGTAAGTTGAAGCTTCATCCCCACCAGTTAGAGTGAGTGTTGAAGCAGCATTCAGAGCCTCCCTCTGGAAAATAGCTGCTAGCTGGCGTGCTGGAGCAGCTACTTGTGCAGTGTGATCTGCTGGAGGTGATGGTGGAGATTCTCTTTGTTCTGCTACTTCAGATGTAATAGATGCAACACTAATCATGGAATTTTCCATATCATCATCTAGCATAGAAGGAGGTGGGATATTGTCTACATTTGAGTGACAGGAACTAGCCATGCTTGCCATATTCTCAGTGGAACCATAATCTTGATCCCCAAGAGCACGGCGAACCATTTCTGGCACTCGACGAGTGTGACGACATTCCAGACGGCGGTTATTGGAACGAGCACCTCGCGGTTCCTCTGTACTATTTGTCAGACTATTTGACATTGAAGCTAAGCTTCCCATTGCTGATGGAGGTTTTATATTATCAAGGTAAGCATCAGAGGCAGCACTAGTTACACTATGTGACATATGGGATGTTTCATCACTACTTAGAAGTTTAGCTTCACTTGCAACAGCCCTAGCCACTTTCATTGCTTCTATAGCTAACAAGCCTGACTCTGACATTGAGGCTGTCACAGATGTATCTGAGCCTCTACCTTCAGAGGGAGATGATTTATCTGCAGAATTTCTATGTTCAACCCAAGAATGCTTGTCTTCAGGAGATGATCCAATACCCTCTCCCGATCCATCACTGACACGTGGTTCGTGTTCTTCAGGTGATTTTTCTTCTTTTGCCAGTGGATGAGTTACAACTGTGGCACCACTCCCTTCACTTGTCACCTCACTTCTAGGATGGCCAAGTTCTGCTGTAGTTGCTGCCTCTGAATGTTCTGTGGCACTTTCATCCTCCTCATCCTCCTCCTCCTCCTCTTCCTCCTTATATTCCACTTCACTTTCTTCATGCTTAGTTACACGCTCATTCTTCTCGTTCTGTTCTGAATCTGTGTGTAGCTTGGAACTCTCTGCATCTGGCATGGGCATGACGGCGTCTGTGTCCACATCGTCCACAGCTGCCGCCATCGCCCCCACGTTTTTTGGAGTAGTAGTAGTAGTATGTTCATCTCTACACAGTGTAAGTCGCTGCATGGGAACACCTGGTACAAGACGTGCTGGTGATCGTGAAGAGGGAGCAGGGATTCGAGAACCGCCTCGACGTCGGCGCCGACTTTCAAGATCTGATTTACTTTTAGGCATACCTTGACTAATGCACTGCTGAAGTAATGCTTGTTCAGTTGGGGTTGTCTCTTCTCCAAAAGAATCAACCGAAAGAGAACTTAATGATGAATTTCTAGAAAAGCACACTGGTGTATCTTCCACTCCATAGTTTCGAACACTGCCTGCTTGTGGTGCACTAGGTGCCTGTATAACAACACTTTCATCTCCACCTTCAATTGAGCTAAGAGAAGAGTGTCGAGATATTACACCTGGAGTGCCCTCAACAGCAAACTGCCGAGGCACCTCATTTTCCCCATCTACTTCCTGTCCCCTACGCTGCATCTGCGATTTTCTAGACCTTTGCATATGTGGAGACTGTGGTGTTCTCGGACGTGGAGATTGTGTTTGTGGCTGTGGGGACTGTGGGGTTCGGGATCTTGGGGATACTGGTGTCCTTGGGCTTGGATCTCGACTGGCTCTGTTGGCCTCATCATCACAACTAAGTGACGAGAGCGAATCTGCACGGGAGAAGGTTGCTGGAGTACCTTCTATGGCCCACATACGCATTTGATCACTGGAGGTTTCATCCAGGGCAGGTGGAGGGCGTGGAGAAACTCGAGCTCCTCCCACTTTGACAGCAGGAGTGACCCTAGCCACTGGAACAGGGCGGTGATGAGGAGAGTGCCGAGGTGAGGCCAAGGGAGGAACTGCTGCAGTTGGTGCTCCATGAGAACATAAATGGCCAGACCCATGACGTTTCACACTCAGCTTTACTTCTTTCACTTTAACACCTGGACGAGCCTGAAATATATGAAATTTACAATTAATAGCAATATAATTGCAAATAGGAATCCAAGAAGATACAAAAAATGGTAAAATTTATGGAATAATAGTTATATTATTTTAAATGAGAGATGTCATTTCACTGTCACTATGACCCATTTTATAAAAAATTACATTCATTACATAAACTAAATCACCTGGTCCCTGCAGTGTGTCATATGGTTAGCTAAACACCTGGTCTCTGCAGTGTGTCATATGGTCAGCTAAACATCTGGTCCCTGCAGTGTGTCATACAGCTAGAAGTGTCATATGGTTACCTAAACACTCGGTCCCTGCAATGTGACATATAGTATTTCAAAGTCACATAAAAATATAGTCTAAAATTAAATGAATTATACTAACACTGCCAAGATGATGCTTCATGAGTTTTAATATCAATTACCCCCTTCACTAAGATGCCAGTTGATGAAGTCAACTACCTTTTTACTAAGGTCTCAGTGGTGATAGTTCCAGTCGATATCAACTCCTTCATTAAGGTACAAGTTGGTGATATAAATTATCTTTCATTAAGATGCCAGTCAATTACATAAAACTGTTCTTCACTAAGGTGTAGGTTAATGTTGTCTACTCCCTAATTATAAGGTGCCAGAGGATGATGTCAACTCCCTCTTCACTAAGATTCTTCATTTTGTTGGACAACTATATTCCTGATCCTTTGGTTCCTGCCCCCCCCCCCATTTTCAGTGGTTCACATTTCTCCAATGTTCTGTAAATTAATTATGCTCAGTCAACACAAGGCATATCCTCTGGTTCATAATTTACATAAGTGCAACACTTGCAAGGCATTTTTTCTTTGCAATGCCCTAGTCAAAGAAAGGACTGAGGGGTTTCTGGTAGACCAACTGTTGCAGCACTGGTGTGTGCCTTTAGTAAGGCCCTCAAGCTGAATGAGTGCTTTCATTTTTAAACTGCCTCTTCAAAATGGGTCATACACCATATTGGTACCCCACATTTTTGTAATGGTACAGTACTGCACTGGTCTAATGTAGGCTGTGAACTGCCATTAACGAGTCCTTATTTGGATTTTTAAATTCCATTATGTTTGCCCGCTTTTCATACACTGCTAATGTTATCTTGTATTATGTGCACCTCAATTATTAGTCCTGGAATTATACACATGCCCATGTATTTGTTTTTGTTCCTATTAATGTAGTTACAATTTCCTTATGGTGTAGATTTTTTGTGGCCTCCTATAATCTCTTCCTGTCATTACCTTACACTTCTTGAGGTTGATCTCTAACAGCCAGACTGTAGCAAACCTGATGATCACTAACAGTGCAATCTTACCTTACCATCAAGAATCTCTTATTCAGGCATAAAAGGATGCTAGCATTCAGAATATTTTTCCTAACAGTTCTGTTGGCCCTCACTATTAAATTGGTCAAAAATAAAGAGCTTACAAAATAACTTAAAAGAAGCAACCAAAGAAGCCACTAGGTATCTTGGGTAATCCTAATGAAATTGTGAGTTTGCTGTGACAATAAAAAACAACAGTAAAAAACTGGGGGAATAGAAAGTGCCCAATGAATTAAACATAGAATTTTAATAAGGAAAATTGTTTTATGCAAAACATGCTCCAATGAGTGAAGGAAAATTAAGCATATAAAGCAGGAAAATATAATCTACACTAAAAATGAGGACATGCAAAGCTTGTATAGTGACTCTTGATTCAAGTGGATTAATTGTAAGAGTATGTGGGATGCCTCTGCCAGGAGTGCCATAAGGGTGCAAGAAGGATGGAGCATGGGTGCTTAGAGCATTGAGATAAAAGGATATATGGTATTTGAGTCTGTGTCAAGTGTAGCTTATTCTAGTAAGGAAAGAGAAGCTAGTCACCCAAGAGGGTGATGCAAGAGAAATAGGTGCCTCTCCTTTTTTTTTGTCATGAAAGCTTACTTGCTGACGTAGTAAAGAAGGGTTTGGAAGTTTACACTCAAATGCATATTCCTTATGATAGATGAAATTTTGAGCCCTCCATATGTGCAGCAACATCTTACCTTGGGCATTCCAGACTGGATACACTGCTCCAAAAGATTGTCATTATCTGACGAGTTATCACCCGAGTCGTTAAGACTAGGTCGCAGACCCGAGGGATGTCGTTCCTTTGTAGGCTCCTCACCCGGGATGGAGATTTGGGAAAGGTCAGATATGGAAGCAGCATGAGAGATGCTGGCAGGTGTGTCTTCCGTGCAGTATGTGCGAAGGGTGTCACCCCCCCACACCCCACCACCAACACCCTGTGGAGGCAGCACTACTGGATCAGCTTTTGTATCGAATCTATTCACCACTGCCAAGGAATCTCCAAGTCTTCCAATTTTGCATGAGCTTTCTTATAATTTTTTATATACAAAAGTTCTGCTTAAACTTACTGTATTTATCAGTACAGGTATTACTGTTTTGGGTATTTTCTTGCAAGAAAGTCCATTTTTATCATTTTATGTTCATATGAATATGAACATAAAATGAATATGAACATGAATATAAATTGAAAATGAATATGAACCTCCTCCCAGTAATTCGTATGAATTTAGACTAGCACATGCCATTTCATAAACTTACAAATATAACAACTGAAATCATAATGACACTTTTTTGGCATTATGTGACTGTTTTGCATCTGCTCTCTACCTCAGACTCGGTTCAGGATATTAAACTTGACATTCCCCTACTTGGAGCCTCCTTTATCAGGATGGTGCAGGTCACATACAATAAGCTGATCAATATGCTTTTTTTTACACCACAGACTTTTAATGCAGAGCATAAAATAAAGAAACAGATTTACATACTGTATACAAATCATAAAATAAAAGAGAGCAGATTTACATACTGTATACAAATCATAAAATAAAAGAGAGCAGATTTACATACTGTATACAAATCATAAAATAAAAAATATATATTTTGAGTAATATTTAAATATTTGCATGAATGAAATACAGAATAAAATACATTCTTAGATAATAATCATAGCAAAAATAAAAAGACACAATTACATAACTTGTATTAACTCTGACCAATGTTATTTGGAATTAGAGTAAAGTGAATTCAAAGAATTAAAGAAAACGTCTTAGTGTACTTAATCAATGACCCAATATAAATAAAGAAAAAAATGAAGAAACATGATGCAATGCTGTTCACAAAGATAGAAACAATTTCCTGCCACTTAGGGAAAGTTCAAATTTTAAGACAGTGAATTAAAGTAATGCTTATAAGAAAAAGAACTTGTATATCGAGTTATACTGGCATGGATCACATGCAGTCAATATATTATGAAAGAAGCTAAGGCTTAAGGCTTTATGTACTTTACCTTTATAATAGTCATACACATGCCGAGCTAGTATTCAAACAGCACAAAATAGCTCACATAGTCACAAAACACACATAATAAGCACTGTACATTTCTTGTGGATGTCCCCACTGACTGTGCAGGAATGGAATCACTTTTACTCTTCTCACCTGTCCATAATTATGTTAAGTCCTCTAAACAAACCTGCCCAACTGGATCATGAGAGGGCATTTAAATGCACCTGCTTAGTATCAAAAGAGTAACATAAATGTACCTGTTGGGCATGGCTGTGGGCGGGGCCACTTGGTATCTGGGTAGGCAGGTTGGAGGCCTTTACAACTGGAATGCCCGAGCCGCGTACACGACTACTTGGTTGGGCAATACGAGATGTTCCTCGATCACTGTACTGCTGCTTCTTCCGCCGTCTGAAAAATATTAAGTGTTGTTTACTAGAAAGTAGACAAAGATACTGCTGATAAATACATACCACAAGTCGAGCTTGGCCCCGGGGTGGGTTTGGGGGAGAACTCCCAGAACTCACTCCAGATATAATCCAGGTACAAACTTGAATGGTCATTATACAGTATATCAATAGCAAGGGTTCTTATGGTGAAAAAACAAAATGCTATTGTGATGAAGAGGTATTGTGGTCATTTTTATTGAAAAAGAAGTTGTGGCCCTACATCAGTAAGTAGGGCCACAATTAAAAACAATCAATATCACCTGTGATGACAATCAATAGGTTGCACCAACAAGTTCTCAACATGGTGGCTCTATGTGAAGTTATCAAATTAAGAACATAGGCCTATGAAAATGGTAATAGCAATAGGCAAACTAGCCCACGCAGGGTAAATTTAACTTAGTTTGAACTCGACTTAATCATTTAGAATTTATTACTATTGGAAACACATGTTTTCCATTACTCTTATCATTCACAAATACATATTGAGAGTTGCATCTAAGGAAAAGAAGTGGTATCTGTCATACCAGACACCACATGACATGATATGCATAACAATCATATGAGTCTTGAGACATAAGAAGCACATGTTAGCAAGGCCATCTATGAAGAGCATGTGACAGCTTTATGGCCTGTGTAAGTACTAGTAGTAGTAATGATGCAGCCCATTACAATGATATATAAAACAAGCAACCACAGTTTCCCATGACAAAATACAAAATCAGGATTCAACTATCAATATATATACATTTATATTGGACATAACCCAGCAGGCAAACTGTACTAGAGTAGCGCTAAGTCAACGTAAGTTCGACGTACATTTAATATTGCATCAATGGGCAGGCGAGGATGGCAAGAGCTGCCCGTATAGGCTAGATGTGAAGAAAATAATTTCCACTAAAAATGAGCTAAGGGAGACTTATTTAAATTGAAGGACTGCTTGTAATTACTGTACTACCACTATAACAACACCCACTCTAACCTAAATTAACCTATCTTCCCAGTGTATGGATTATTTATTACAACCAATCATCTCAATATCATAGATGGATTAAACCATTTGATTTAGAAGGAATCAGGCAGCAATCATAGCTGAGAGCTGATGTCCACTGTGGTCCTACTACACCTTTCCTGATAATCTGAACTCAGTAAGAGTACTTCAGGAGCTTAACCCATTATAGCTGCTGTATTCTACAAAAATCTAAAGTACCCGCACTCAAACACTTCCATTACTAGTTCATCACCTCTATCCTCCTGCCCCCAGAATGGGTCCAGGGTTTATGATGTGCAAGTTACACCAAGTTAACGTGTGTGTAAAGATGATGTGATTTTTAATTACCGGTAGATGAAAAAACCCTTATGACCCTTGTTTCCTTATGATGGTGAGGAATAATATTTTATTTTCATTGTCAGGAACAGGAAGCCTGTACAGTACTGTATTTAGGCTTATCAAGGTCCCCCTTGGCCACAACTCCTTACACAGCTTCAAATGTAGATATGATAAGAGCCCAATAGGCTCAAGAATCTGTACACCAGTTGATTGACAGTTGAGAGATGGAACCAAAAAGCCAAAGCTCGACCCTTGCAAACACAACTAGGTGAGAATTTTGTACTATTTCAATGATACTCAGGAATATGGTATTTTGTTTGGATCACATTCTCTATAATTATTTTTCTTCCAATTTCTTAAAATTTAAATCTATCTGTTTATAACCATATCTCTACCCCCCAAATTGTAGAACCAAATTGTAATGAAATTATTTTCATACTTTTCGTTTGGTGCGTTTAATTTTAAACAAGAGGTTCCACGCTGGTGCTGCTGAACATATGCTGGATATACTGTAATGTATACCCCAGCCTCCTGAAGCAGAGCCTGGGTTGCTCGAGCCCCAGAAGGTGGACGCCCCAGGAGGTGGACGTCCCGGTCCCGCACCTACGGGTTCCTGACAGAGATCGGCACGGCCCTTTTTCACCCGAGGCCGGTTTCCTTCATGACCCAGCAGAAGGAAGAGTAATAATTATTAATTAATTATATTATTATTATAATAATAATTGTTGTAATTAACAATTATTACTCTTCCTTCTGCTGGGTCATGAAGGAAGCCGGCCTCGGGTGAAAAAGGGCCGTGACGATCTGTCTGGAACCCGTAGGTGCAGGACTCGGACATCCACCTCCTGGGGCTCATGCGGCCCCAGGCTCTGCTTCAGGAGGCTGGGGTCGTTCTTGCCCTTGCTGGGGTGGTGGTTCTCCAGCCCCGACCACGGTGGTCTCCAGGTTTGGAGTCCCTGTGTCTTCTTTTATCAACTTCGAGGTAAACTTCAGAGCTGAAGCCCCCTAGGGGCAGTTCGTTGTTCCTTCAACCTTGTTCTGACAATTCCTGTGATGGCACTGGAACCAATCGTACTGGCGTTTGCCTTTCCGTTGGAGACTTTTGGCGTCGTGGAGAGGAGGGACCTGCTGCATGGGTGACAGCTTCTCTCCAGCATCAACCTACCCTGGTTTTACACCTTGGAGAGGCCACTACAGACCGACAACCAGATCACAACTCCATAGTCTCCTGAGACTGATGGATGCCGCCTACTACTACTACTGTAATGTTTTGAATGCATCGTTGTCAAGGTTCCTGATGATTGTTCTGGTGTTCATCAGCCCAATATATACAGTATTTGGCTAATGTGATTTTATTTGTTTGCCTCTGTAGATAGGTTTAGGGGCATGTCTACTCCAAGGTCTTTTTCTCTCCTTGGCCCCTAGTAGGTCCCTCACTTCCATTATGTATTGTTCTTCCGACCTTCTTACTTCTGGCCCCATCCTTCTGTCCTTGTACTTATCTGGATTAAAGATCAGTAACCATTTGTCCAACCATGCCTGCAATTTATCCAAGTCTTTGAGAAGCCTCCTGCTGCAGACTTTGCTCGTCCTGCTTTACCATACAAGCTTTGTATCGTCAGCAAACAGTGACACAAGAGTGTCCGGTAAATCAGCTGTGTCATTTATGCATACGAGGCACACAGGGTCCCAGCACTGAATCTTGTGGGACCTCACTTATGACGTCTCCCACCTTCACACTTTCCCCGTTCCTCTTACTGTTACCATTTCCTATTCGTTAGGTAGTTATTCCCCCCCCCCTCAGCTTAGTACTCTGTTGGTTACTCCGGCCTAGTTCCGTAGTTTGAACGGCAGACGCTACACGATGTAGTGCCAAATGCTATCTGATAATCTTGCCTTTCTTATCACAGTAATTGTATCCTAGAACCAATAATCGCTGAAACACTTTCATGGGATGCTTGTTAAGGACATTGTTTTGATATCTGCTACTTTTCTTACATGCTGGTGTGACCTGCACCTCCTCCCAGCTATATGGTGTCACCCTAGTCTCCGGTGATGTACTGGAGATCATTGTAATGGTAACAGTGGTGTCGGTGGTCGTGGGATGGGGGTAACGGGTGTAACAAGAGAGCAGTACACAGCAGAACAGCAACAAGTCACGTGGAACTCATTGTGGATTCTTTGATGAAGATTAAGCCACCCAAGAGGAAGGACGGGCATGAATAGCCTGTAATCATTGTAGAGTAAGTACGGTTCTCTTGTACCCAGCACCTAATCATTCAATTTCCTTTGATTCGGTTAGGGAACATAGGATTTTTTTTAATTGATAAATAAAGTAATATTTTCAAAGTGTCATTCTCTTGTGTATTAATAGTACCGGCCAATGTGATACTGGGCTTACCGTTCTCTTTGTCCCCTTTGTGACCTAGTGCCTTTAATTGTCTGGTTTGCCTCCCTTTTCAGTTTCCTTTTAAAGTGTGTCAACACTAGAGTAGCCAGCACTGTTCGCGTTATTATATACAGTACACCTAAGTGGTGGTCTCGGGATTATACGAGTATCAGGCCACGATCCTTTTTTCCAGTCTTTCGTTGCCGACACCGGCCCTGATAGGGTATTTGTATCTACACTTCCTCCCGTCTCTCTTCCCCCGGTTCCCTGTCCGGTAAGTCAGGGTGGTGGCGGCGGCATATTTGGGTAGTCATACATGACCGGCTAATATTAGTAGCAGCTAATATTCCTATGTTTCGCCCTCTCATTCTCTCTCCCTCCCTCCGTCTCATTCTCCCTCCCTCCCTCTCATTCTCTCTTTCTCCCCCTCCCTCTCCACTGCTCTACTTTATTCCTTCAGTTGCCTACGAAGAGCTCAGTTCATCTCCAGTTATTATTTGGATTGGTTATACTTATGATAGACTTGATATTAAGTGATGGTTATAATGGTAGTATAGCTTTGTCATTATTAGATGGGTGTGGTGTGGTGTTGGTGAGGCTCGTATTTGTGTGGTGCTGGTACAGATCACAATGATGGTAATACTGATACACATAATAGTAGTGATGGATACAGATGTTACGGGCTATTCATGCCCGTGCCACTCTTGGGGGGGGGGGTGGCTTAAGCTTTAATCAATCAATTAAGATACAGATGGTTGTGGGCATTGTTGATAGTGGTGATTGTGGTGGCAGTGAAGGTGGCGAACACAATTACCCAATAGTGCCGGGCCCAATTGCCGACACACACCCGCACCACCACTAACCACCCACTCTGGCATTATCTCAACCACCACCACCACTAACAAAGAGCCACAAACAATACCTACGACACCACAAAACAGCAACCACCACCTCCCCCCCCCCCATCACTAAACAACTGCCCTCGGCCTTTCTCCAAACCAGTTCAATAGAGGTGGCATTGAACGTTGAACATGTTTTAAAGTTTAAGTTAAACTGTATCTTTGAGCTAAGTCGGTGGTCGGTAGGGCTTCCCTCCCCCCCTCCCCCTCCCCCTCCTCCTCCCCCCAGGATGATCTGCCAGTTCCGTGTTGCTGGTAAGGACCTTACCCCCCCCCCTCCATCCACACCATGTTGAGTCAGTGCATTCCTGTCAGGTCATTGGGGGGGGGGTATTCCTGTCAGGTCA